AAGTGTTGTTAAGTCAGTTCTGTCTCACAGAGATCTTACTGCAACAAAGGCAAAGACAAGACTGTCCTGATCCATGGTCACAATTGAGATTGTGTTTTTATCTGCTATAGTAGCCCTGTGACCTCTATTTTACCAGATAAAATGTCTTTCTTTAGGGAATGGTTTCTCTTAACGTGTCCAAATTTCAATAGACAAAGATCTTTGCTGTCTTTGCATCAGTAGTACTTTTATTCATAATACAAATTGTATTGTTCATGTATTTATTAGGTAATATTACTTGCTTACATTTCACCTCCCACCAAGACTTTTTTCCTTCCTTTTCAAATTAATTTACCAGTTCGCTTATGCATATACAGTAATTGGAAACACCTTGACTTGGACCAGTCACACCTTAGACACCCAAGCAATGTCTTGGCTTTTTAATATTTAAAGATTATTTTTTGTAGCTGGTATGTCCAATTATTATTTCTTGAGCACTAATTTCTCAAGGGTATTACTGTGAATAAAAGTAAAATAAAATTCTTGGCAATTTCAATACTTTATCATGATGCTGCTCTGTGAATCAATTCTGAGGATCACTAAGTTTTGTCAATGTTCGCAAAACTAAATTTCTGCTGTGCTTGAAATTATGGTATAAATGTAAATCCAGAAATCATTTTGAAGAACAATATTGATATAACACTTAATTTAAAAACAATTTCAAAGTATTTTAGAATTTTAACTTATAATTTTATCTAAAATCTTTCTTAAACACAATGTTATATACACATATTTCAAATTATTATTAAAATATCAGAAATAAAACATACTAATATAATATTGATTTGTATCAAAGTCTTTGGAGGAAGTGATATTTCCTATAACATTGCTTTTCATGCCTCCTCATGAAAGGCAAATTTTTACATTTTCAGGGTTTTAAGGTATTTGAACACTTTAAATCATTGTTTAAGGTAAATTGCATTCATGGGAACTTGGATTTAATAAAGTAATAAATATGCAGGTCTAAATTAGTAAAAAAATTATTTAAAATACTAATTTAAAAATGTACTGTCTATTATACAAAACTCTTAAATTTACCATTTCAAGTAAGTAAAGTAGTACTGGTGATATACTTGTTGAAGTGCCAACCGCATAAAAACAAAATCTGTTCCTCTGAAGAAAGTTATGGCAGTTTGATTCTTTACTGATTTCTAAAGCCTTGGAAAACCTGTTCAGAATCTCCAATATGTTTCCAGAGGTGCTACTGAAAAAATTTAACTATTTAAATTACTTTGTCTGAAACACCTTTCATCAAAGATGTTTAATATCCTTTAGAAGGACTTTGTCAATTTTGAAGGCAGAATTCTCTTTAAATAAAAAAAAGAATTTATCCCCTGGGATCTCTTCCACCTGATGCAGTTAAATTTCTATTTACATAAAATTTTTGGCACACATTTTATTTGTATTACCTGCTAATACTAAAGCTACTGAGAGTATACTTCTCTGTGCAGTCTCTCAATGAAATAAACAAAATTCATTAAAGTAGAACAAATTTTCCCTTAATAAAATAAAATATAGCACTGGAAGGGATCTAAAATTAACACAAATTCTGTTTCTAGCTAATTCCTTATGAATGGTGCTTTATATAAAATTATTGGATTTATTACATTAAGCTCCAACCACATTTGTTGGTGTGTGATTTTTTCATTTTTTGCTTCTTCTTAACAGTTGTAGCCTTGATTAAAAATTTAAGACCTTGAATATAATAGATATTGTTGTCAGTTGCCAGTTGTAGCCTTGATTAAAAATTTAAGACCTTGAATATAATAGATATTGTTGTCAGTTGCATTCACATCAGCACAACTCATAGAGACCCTATGAACAAAAGACCTGAAGCCCCTCTAAAACTATCAACATTTATCAAAGTTCATAGAGTTTCTGGAGCCATTTTGTTGAGGAAGTGGATGCCACTCCTGCTTCCAAACAATAGATATTGATCATAAAAATATTATGTTGTAATATTTCTGGGAACAATAAATATCATTATTAATACACACACACACACACACACACACACACACACACACACACACACACACATTTTCATCCTTGTGTGCCATTGAGTCGCCTGTGATTCACAGTGACTCTATATACAATAGCTCTGAACCTAGCTCTATCCTGAACCAGTCTCACTATCTCCAAAACATCTACCTTCATTTTATCCCAGTAACTATGTCAATCCATTACAGCCAGGGTCTTCCTCTTCTACTCTCTCTCTCCACCCTTCCAAGCATGATCTCTTTCTCCAAGAACTGGTATCTCCTGGTCTTGTGCTCAAAGTATGTGAGAGAGAGCTTCAAAAGCCTAGCCTGCAGGAACCAGCTTGGTTTCACCCTCCCCAAGACCTAGTTGTTCTCTTGGTGGTCCATGGTATGTTCAATACTCTTCTTTAGCACCACAACACAAAAGGCATACATTCTTTTTCTGTCATCCTTATTTACTGTTCAACTTTCTCATCCATAGCAAGCTTTTGTCATATTGTAGTTGTTGTTGTGGAGTGTAGAGTTGGTAGTGGCCCATAGCTGACGCACTGGTGGTTTTTCAGAGGCAGATAATCAGGATTGGAGGAAGACTCATCAATAACCTGTGTTATGCAGATGACATAGCCTTGTTTGCTGAAATTGAGGAGCATTTGTAGCACTTGTTACAGAAGATCAAGGAATGCAGCCTTCAGTATGGATTGTCTCAATATCAAGAAAATGAAGATTCTTATCACTGTGTCATGATGGATGGAGAGGAGATTGATACTGTCAACAGCTTCATCTTGCTTGGATCCACAATTAACACCCTTGGTAAGAGCCGTCGAGAAATAAAATGTAATGGGAAAATCTGCAGTTAGGGATCTTTTTAAATTGTTGAGGAGTAGTGATGTCATTTTGAGGACTAAGATGCATCTGATTCAGGTCATGGCCTTTCCAATTACTAGCTGTCCATCTGAGATCTAGACAATGGATAAGGATGACAGAAAAAGAACTGATGCCTTTGCGCTGTGGTGTTGGGGAAGAGCACTGAACATCTCAAGGACAGCCAACAGAACAAACATATGTGTCTTGGAGAGGGTGCAGCCAGAGGCCTCGAGGCAAGAATGATGAGGCTTCACCTCACATATTTGGGGCATGTTTTTAGGAGGTTCTATTCCTTGGAAAAGGATATGATGGTGGGAAGGGTGGAGGGTCAGGGAAGGAGAGGAAGACCCCCAACCAGGTGGATTGATAAGGTGACTGCTACAATGGGCTCTTGAGTGTCAGGAAGTGTGGAGATGACACATGACAGGAGGAGGTTCAGATCTTTTGTTCATAGGGTCACTA